GAGTACAACTGAATGAGATTGTATTCAGCCGAAATTCTTCATGTGTGTTTGAAGGTCTCTTGTTATGAAAAAACAGTGGAAAACACATGTGGCATACGTAGACTAGCCGTTCTTGAGTACAGCTAGATTTACCAACTGTAGCTCCCATGCAAAGTTTCAATTTGGTCAGTAGCTGCTGTCAGTTTGACTTAGTAGTGTATGTGGCTAAAGCAAAAATTTTAATCCTGAGTTAAGATATAACCTTGTTTCTTGCTTTTCACCTAACAAAATTAACCGTATCTCTAGTGTAAGACAGAAATTGAAAGTGTGATAGTGTGCCATGTGTAGGGATGAACACTGAAATAATGTATGCTTAATTGTTGGAATTTGTACTTTGACCAGTGTTGTGGAAGAAGTGATAGTAGTCTGGATGACATTGATTCTGTAAAGTAGAAGTCATACAGATGTTCTCCAAAGTTTCTGCACTTAAAAACACAAAGGTGTTAAGTGTTTATTTTCCCTGGATTCTCTACAGTGATACCTGAGCAGTGTCCAGATTGTGGAACTTCCTATAATAATAAAGGTTTTCATGTTTGATATTTTTTCCCCCCGTGTTGTGTGTGGTGATTACTTTGCCTATTGCAAGTTGCTGATGATGGATTAGTAGAATACGGAGTGCTAAAGCAATTTCTCAAATGATATATAATTTTGGGTTTTATTAACTTGATGTTCATGGGAGTTCTGATCTATCGTGAGTGTGTTGCATAGTCATTTCAAGTAGGATTTGTTTCACTTGATTTTGACTGTTTAAAAGCTAGGTATCTAGTCCAAGGCTGTGATTTTGTGAATGTCTGAGCTCATGATGTGACAACTCTCTGCTCCTGAAAGGACAAAGCGTTGCTCCTCCTCCTGTCTATTTATTTGGCTCTTTGTTCCTTTCTTCTAGTCAGTACCAGCTGCCTCCTTTCACTGATGATGTAGCTTCTTGGATTTTTCGTTGAGCTGATGTGATTCACTAATCTCGCAGTAAAACTACTGAGTGTTTTCTGCTTGTTTAAGTGCCTTGTCTTCTTGAGTTAAGTCAGTTCATGGAAGGGTCTGACGAATGATAAATCTAGGAACAGGGATGAAGAGAGGAGGAGTGGAACCTCCTACTCCTGGTGACAGTGAGCTCTTGTATGGGGTTACACTTTTTCATTAGTTCATTATGTACTCTTACTGTAGACTCTTAAGCAGGGATGAGAAGGGGTAGTGTTTGAAGAGTCACTTTCATGAGGCTGTGCTTCCTTTGAGTGTCTTGCTTATTCTTTCAGGGAAATAGTGATATTGTTTCACAAGACCTTGGCTAATTCAGTTAGGAAAAAAAAAGCCCCGTGTATAAAGAGGTCTAGAGTTCTGACAGAATCAGGCAAATGGATTAAACCATACATTGTGTGAAACAGCTGTTTGGCTTTCAACAGAGTTTACTGAGAATTTTAGTGCTTGAACAAAACATGGCACAAGGCTAAATACTATTAAGTGTTTTATCAATAGTTGCAAAATTACATTGATTGTATCATTTAACTGTTTAAAACGGTGTTCAAATATGATAAATTTATGTGTGTTAAGTGTGGCTGTGGTATGGCAAGCAGAGCCAGAAGTGAGTTATATATGTCACCCAGGTAAATTACCAATGCCTGCTGAAATCATGTAATTTGGTTATGCCAGGTAAGCTAGAAGGAAGCCTTGTTATTGTAAACAACATACAATAAAAATTGTAATATAAATAAAATAGTATTGATATCTTCATATTTTTCTCTAAATACAAGTATTCTCACAATTTTAAGTGCTTGTAGCAAGCAAAAAGTTAAAATAGTATAGCTGAAAAATCTTGTAAAAGAAGAGAAGCCCTTTTATGTTGTGTAGATACAAAGAAGAAAGAGGTGTGAAGTAGGTCTTTCAGCAATGTTTCTCTCTGTATGTAAATAAACAATTGGAGAAGAAAGGCAAACCAAAGGTGATTCTTGGAAATGTATTGAGTTACTTGACTTAGCAATATTTATTGTAGAATATCTAGCTATTTCAGCTAGTGAGTGTGCATTTCCTAGGTTTCAGGACTCTGCACCAATACCTTTATATGTGTACCTGCACAAAATTATGTTAAGATTTCATAGTATGAATTGGGGCAGCTGATACAAGTTTGCAGTTCTGTAATGTGACAAAATTCAGCAAATATATAGGTGGAGAATTAGTTTTAGATATGATGTGGTTTCAGTTTCTTTATGTTTTATGGTTCTCTACTTGAACAAATCTCCAACCGGGGAATAAATTTTAACTAGTGTTCCTTTAAAGTATTTCTCTAAAATTATGGGTGTAGTCTTGTGTAATTTTGAAGATTATTTAAGTTTCTTGACTATGAAAAAGTACCGTAAGCCATTAGCAGAGAAGAAATTCTTGTTAGTAATAAAATATTTGTCGCCCTAAACAATGTTAACTGTTGACAGTTCATTGCCAGGAAATATTTTAGGATTTTTTGGGGGTGGGGCAAGGCTTGTGTTTGTAAGAATGTGAGTACGTTAAATATTACAAGTTGCTATTAATGATTTCAAGGAAAGAGCTCTCGTGAAGTAATGAAATCTCTGTTAGTTTAGTTTGTTTCACAGCTGTCACCAGGAATGCAAATCATGAAACTTGCCACTAGATGTCCCTACAAGTCAAAATAGTTTTGTTTCCTTAAATACGAACTGCTTAGGTTTTTGAAGTCTGAAACAATTGTTTTGTAAGCTACAATTTTTTCCCTCTGTTCTTTCCTTTTTTCTTTTTCATGAAATTTTCATGCAGGTGAATACATGACCAGGTGTGTGTCTTGCTTTACAATTTGTGCACTTTTTTATAGTAGCAAAGACTGATGAGAGAATGTATTTCCCACCTGCAGCAGATTGGAACTCAAGAGTACGAAAGGCTGCAATTCCATTTATCTTTTTCTTTCAGTTGATAAGCTCTCAGAAAATGACACGTTTTTTTGATGTCTTTGACTATATGCCACTTCAGAAGTACTTCTTGCTCAAGTAAGTGGCAGGATTCAGACTCAACTTTAAATCCTGTGTTCCTAATTCTGAGCTTTGGCTTACGGTTTGATAGTTACATTTGGTATCTGGAGGTTGTGAAAGCAAAGATCTGAGACAGAGAAAAGTACTATTGCCTGATTGTTGGGTTTTTGTGTTCGGTGTTGGTTGGTGTTGGTTTGAGCTTGGGGTTTTTTTTGTTTACAGTGATCATGATAACCCTGTTGGTATGCTAGAAAAGTCTAAATTCTTAGGGACGTGCTGCCTTGGAGTTTCTCTACACCAGAACTTTCTGTCCTCTTACATGGTTTATTGTCCTTAGGATCACTGACCAGTTCTCACACAGCTGTTGGGTTAACAATCGAAAATGTACTTATATTGAGTTTGGAAATCGCTGCTGTTCTTTGTTTCTCAACAACCAACAAAATTCAGGAATGAAAAATAGATACTGCATTGATTAGAAGGTTGTTCAGAACTTGTGCTATTACTGTTTGAAATTGGTTGTGCTTATAGGACAGTCACTAAGGAGAATGTTCTTTATTCTGATTTCTTTCCCTTTATCCTCTTAGCAAGTCTGGGTATAGCAGAATACAAAGTTGCTGTTGTCGCTTTGCCTATACTGGTGTTTTAACTCTGGTAGATTTTCCTCTGACCTTTTCCCATCTTAGTGACAGAGGAAGGGAAAATGGGAAAGAAAACTTAAATGTAAGACTTTCTTGACATTATTATATCTTTAGTGGTATGGGCATTGACATTCAAGGTTTATTTTCCTATAAGAAAGATAGATTGTCATCTTGCTTATAGTTCAAGGGTTTATAAAATCAAATCATAAGTGTTTAAGGTAGATCCATGAAAGATTGTAAGAGTGGAATGGTAGAAAACATTATATATTCAACTGTATATGTAAAGGTGAGGTATTTGCAGTGATGATGGAGATTTAACATTTTTTCTGTTTGAGTTTTACTTTGTACGATTACACTTAGTATACTGCAAACATGGTGCTGTTAGGCCAAAAGTTTAAATGGTAGAGTAGTTGGTTTCAAAGCTTTGTAACTTCCCTAAAATTCAGTTACTGTCCTCCCTTCCCCAGATCCCTTATTAGTGTCAATAATGATCAGATGAATATATCTTGCTTCTAATATAAAAAATAACTAATGAGGCATATTAGAATACTTCCTTATTTCTCAGCATCTGTCGTTCTGCAGCTTTCTCACACCAGTCTGACATTGTCACATTTAGCAAAACTTTCTGGAAAGGTCACAAGAAACCACCAGATAAACTTTGAAAATGAGGAAGTGACATGTATCAATGATATTTCAGGGTTGCGCTTTGAGCAGGTGTCTTCCAAACTGTCCATGAAACTTTTACTCTTCTCCAGAGATGGCTTAGTAGGAATTCAACAGTGAGAATTACCTGCTCTTCTTCCAGCTGAAATGATGGTGTATTGAGTAATACAACTTGTTAGGCTAGTGTGACAGATTGTGACTGTGTAAAAGCTGTGTATGTCTGATGTCTGTGGCCTCTGCTTGAACCCTGGTTAACATGGAATATTTAGGGTATTACTAGCATCATAGTTTGATTCTCAGTGTATAACATTTCATGTAATCTGTCACATAGAGGTGCTTGTGCTTATTTTGTATTAACTCAAATAATCTCCATGTTAAAGTTTATTCTGTGCCCCTGGAAGGGCTATGACTTTTCAGGGCAGGCAGAATAAGCAGAGAAGAGTTGCCCTTTCAGTAGAGGTTTCTAACCTGAGTTACAACAGGGCCAGGATTCTTCTGTACTGAAAGCAAAAGCAGCATGTGAAATCCTTGAGTTGTGAATGTACTTGATTGCTAATTACATGTCCTTGTATTTGTTCAGGTGACTTGATCTTCTGGGATGTCAGCAGAAAAAAGTGGATGGCGTTGTAGATTACTTATAAGTTAATTTTATTTTGTCCTCTACATACTTACTGTGAACAGCCATCATAAAATGGATACTTTGGGCAGTCTTCTTCCTCCCGTGGTTGGAAATGGCGATACGGCTAATTCACAAGAATTGCAAAAACTTCTGATTGATGAAAAAATGCGATGTGAACACCATAAAGCAAATTATCAAACTATAAAGGCAGAACATTTAAGGTACACTAGTTTAAACAGGTTTCTTTATTTGAGCTGTTAAAAGGTGAAGCTAAATGTTAGGTGGAAGGGATTTGTGTGTGTGTTAGCTATTTCTGTATTTAAGGACAGATTTGAGTGTTGTTCATATTAAAAAATAACCAATTCAAAATACCTTAGGACATTGCAGATTAGGTTTCTGAAATACTTTTTATGCTTGTAAATATGGGATAACTTTTCAATATATTACAGGAAGAGGATATTAATAGCTTAGTTCTAACTTGATATTTGTATGTTTACTTCTGCATGTGAGTTTTTTGAGCTTGAAGATGTAATTTTAGTGTGTAAATATAAAATAAATATGTATTTTGTCTTGCAGATTACAAGAGGAATACACGAAATCACAAGATGAACTGAAGCGGTTGTTAGTTGAAAAGCAGACTGTACATGACAAATTTCAATTTCTTCTTGCTGAATATCGAGAGGAGTTGCTGAGTAAAACACAAGAGCTGGAAAAATTGAAGATGCAGGTGAGGTAATTTACTGGAAGGACTTAATATGAATTTTAATTCTGTAATATGATCATGCATACATTTCTGTTTATGTAACATGTATATACCTATGTTGAATGTATTTCAGGTATCTTGAAATTCACCCAACTTGAGTAATGTTTCTTCTCTAGAGTGACTCTGGGATGAAATTATTTTTTTCTTGTTTAACTGAATCTTCCAAATCCTGTTGTTATGTGCTGTGTGAATTGTAAGACACTCGGTGTCTGTGCATGCTCTCCTCTTATGGGGAGAATCGTCTGCTGTGGAGGATAACTTAGATGCCTAAACCTGTTGCGATATGTGACTGGAAAAATAGGTATTTGTTTTTCTTTGTGATGACAGCTTTCCCCATCTTTAAAAAAAAATCCAAACAAACAAATAAAACCCCCTCAACATTTGTGATAACTTGGATGGCACTTTCTATAACTGCTTGCTTCCTTAAACTAATGCAGGACATAGTTCTTAGGAAACAAATATAGCACCTAACAAAGGATCCCGGACTGCAAATGGAGGAGATGTGCCTTGGTACCATAACTAGAATTAGTTTTCAGGGACCTCAGGGTACAGAAAAGTGGAAGAAAAGTATTATAAATTAGAATACGTCACAGGTTGTGGATGAAATTTTTTTTTATAATGCTTTTTCTTGGTAGGTAGTTTGCTGTATTAACCATAACCAAGAAAGCTTAACAAAATACCATGCAGGATGGAGCTTAAGGCAGGGAAACTTTCCTGATCATAGTTTCATTTCAAACCACTACTCATGTATCTGCTGGAGAACATGTATCTAATGTGTTTTACAGAGAATTGTTTTGGTGTTGCTCATTTTGATTCTTTGGGGTTGGTTCACTTACTGTTTAAGTTTTTCTAGATGCTAATTCTTTATCTTTTATGTGAGACCACTTTTGCTCCTGCCCCTCCCCCACAAAGGAAATAAATCTTTTGGCAATTCAGCTTGACATTTGTATTGCTTCTACCAGTAAATACTGACATTTAAAATGCTTCTGTTATCTTCCCAGAATATTTTGAGTTCACTAATATGGTTGTTTTGCTTCTGTAACTACTATTGACAGTTCTTTAGAAAAACATAGAAAATTAAGCAGGATTACTAAAATCATGTTCACAATACTTTATTCTGGGCTGTTTGTCCTATCACAATGTAAATAAATGAATATGACTAGTTATTTATAATACCTTTCTGTCTTAAGGTGCTAACTCCTCAAAAATTAGAACTGTTAA